TGAAAAGCCAAGGTCTAGTCAAAGCCGTAAGACTCCAACTCATCCCTCTAACACAAAATCCTTTCTATAACTATTTTCTGTGAAAATAAAGGTCTCCAGGAGGAAAATCTGTAAGGCAGAAAGTTTGGGTTTTGTTTTGTTTTAAGGTGCTGAAAATCTTATCGGCCAGACATTTTGGAACTCCTGGGAGGATCCCCCAGAGTCTGCCTTAGGAATGCTTCTGTAAGAAAACAGATCCCCAACAGTCTAGAGCAGACCAGGTTTCGACTGGATGGGGAGGTTAGAAGGGCCTCCAGAGGCACTAACCCCTTGCTAGCATCTGGAAGGACCTGTGGACACACCCCATTCTTGGCTATTTCACTCTGTTCCTCTTTCCCTGTGATCTTGTGCTCAGTGGTTCCCCCGCCTAGAGCCTCTCCCAGATGTTCACTCAGCATACTCCCGGATCATTCAGCTCCCCCAACCCAACACATACACGCACGCACACACGCATGCACGCACGCACTGCAAGCTTTCACAATCCCAATCCCGTGTTCAGTTCCCTGCATGGTTCCCGGTGATGCCACCATATCACTTGAGCTCCCTGGCTGGCTGCCCCACACACTGAGAGCCCCTCTGCTCTTCTCTTCACTGTGGCACAGCGTGAGTACAACAAACAGCTCTGGGTGGAATAACGGGAAGGGGAATCGTGAGGGAGAGAGGCTGGAAGTGGAGAGAAAAGAGGAGAATCCTGAGCTGGGCTGTTTACATACAAGGAGGAAAGGAAATACTGAATGTCTAGAAAACGGGAGACCCTTCCAGCCAATCCCCCTGGGCCTTGCCAAGACTGTCACTTGTAAATGGAGGCCAACGGGGCCTCAGAAAGCTTGGAAAACCCAGTGATGGGACCAGGTTTTATTCTTAAAAACATCCTGGATTCAGCTTGGAAAACCAATCCGAGGAACAAGAACAGATCAAAGCCATCTAATCAGAAGCTGCCTCTGTGTCTCTGACAATTGAGAGGAGTGTGACAGCAGACATTAGAGGACAGGATGACTCATGAGACCCAGGGCCCAGAGAAGGGGGAGAAGCGTACAGAGGACAGACTCCAGCTGGGTGGTGAAGCACTATTCACTAAAATACTAGACAGTGAGAAAGATGGTCAAGGAATGAGGTGCAGCGTGTCTCGGGATAATGGCTTAGGTAGGTTCTCATCCACAGCCCAGCAGAGCTGTCTGGCACGTGGCTGCAAACGGGGTTCTGGAGCTTGGAAGAGAAAACTGGTCTGAAAGAAAACAAAAGTCCACACATGGATAAAGGACTCCAAGATTTCAGTCCACCTGAGGAAGAGATCATGGGTGTCTAGGGAGGGAGGGAGGGAATGGAAAGGAGAGGGAAGAAGGGGGAGGAGTGAGGGAAGGAGGAAGAAAGAGGGAGAGAGAAATTCTGACAGAATTCTACTCCATTTTTCTGCTTCCTTCTAAATGAGTAAGGCATGATCTGGTAACTAAGCTCCACCAAAAGGAAGACATGACTGTGTGTTTCCGGGCACCTTCCACGAAAGAGGAAAGAGAACATTCTTTCCTGTTTCAGTCACCCAAGCAGCAGTTCTCAACCTGTGGGTCGTGACCCCTCTGGAGGTCAAACAACCCTTTCACAGGGGTGGCCTAAGACCCTCAGATATTTACATCGTAATTCATGACAGAAGCAAGATTACAGTTATGAAGTAGCAATGAAAATAATTTTAAATCTGGGAGCCGCCTCAACATGAGGAACTGTATTAAAGCATTGCAGCGTTAGGAAGGCTGAGAACTACTGGTTTAAGGCATGATGGCTGGAGCTTCAGCAGCCTTTACATTCATGAGGATGAGAACCAACCCCAAAAGATGGCAAAGAGATGAGCTAGAAAAGTATCTAGTTATCTAAAAATGTCACGGAACCGGTGCACCTCTCAGGCTGCCAGGCTCTTTGTAGGGAGGAGGAAACAAACCCATTTCCCTCACTAACATTTGAAGATGTTCTGCCCAGTGGAGTCAGTCCTAATACTAAGCAGCTACTGGTCTCCTATGTCCTGTCTTCTTGCAGTAAGCCATCGCCCAGAGTCCATCTCTCCTCTTGCCTATATTTACTTAAGCCCTGCCCACCCTTTAGAGGATAAATCATATTCTGCCTCCCACTAGAGACGGCTCTTCCACTTCCTCCCTGAACTCTGGTACTGTCTTCCTGCCCCCTCTCCGCAGGCACCTGACCTGGTGTGCCTTCATAGTGACTCACGTCCCCACACCCATTTCCCCTGACTCCTCCCTGAGGTTCAGCATCAGCAGGGGCAAGGCCCCTGGCTGCCAAGGTCAAGAGCTCCTGAGCCTCAGAGTGGGCCCCACAGAGCTGGTTCACCTCAGCAAGTGAGTGAATCCATTGAGAAAAAGTGAGAAGGTGATAAGAGATTAGACACATTCTAAGACATGTAACACATGTAAGACATGTAACACATTCCAGCACGAAGAGACAGTTTTGAGAAAAGACCTGATACACCTTCAGGCTTAATCACATAGTAGATATTGAGCTGACTGAGAATACAACCAGGTAGGCCCCACCCACATTGCCAGTGGCTTCAATGACAACAAAGATGGCCCCTGGAGAGAGGGTAGAGTGTCTATGTCCCTTCAGAGATACAGTGGGCTGGAGCTAAAATAGTAGGCATGTGTCCGTGATGTCCCAGCTACTCAAGGAAGCTGCGGCAGGGAGATTCCCTTGAACCCAGGAACTCCAGACCAACCTTAACCTTAGCTGCAGCAAATTCCATCTGAGGTAGGGGAGTCCATCATGCAAATGGGAAGTACACATTTGATACATATCCTTTACAAATCACTATTGATAACTAGTACTTCAAAATGCTTGCTGCCATCAACACAAGTGGCTTCATTCTAAGAACTAAACACAATTCATTCATGAAGGTGACCCAATGCTTTAAAGGGCCCAATGCTTTGAATATTCGGTACTTTGTAACTATATTGTTGCACAACTCATTGTTGAACACCACAGAACAGGCAAAGCAGGCCCAGAGGACTTATCACTCAGAGCTTAGGCGTAACATGCTGACACACCAGGAAGACGTCAGCAGAGGTAATTACTACTCGGGAAGTTTAAACGGAAACTCCTAATTTAGAATAAGCCTCAGTGGAAGCAAGCCCAGCTTCTCTGGAGCCTTTCCTGAGTGCCTCGGAAGCCCATTATTGTCAGAGCTGTGACCTGGGGTTCCCAGAAAAGCCACCAAGCCCACTTGGAATCATGCTAACAAACTGAGCAAAGTCAGTGTGGGCTAGTTCAGGAAGATGAATATGCCAGGCATGGAGAATTTGAGAGGCAAGTCTCCTCATTTAAATAGCACTAGTGCTTCTTTAAGATATGCTTCTGGCATCAAGGGACAGCTACTTACTGAGCAGGAAGAAACAGAGTTTGGGCCAGCTAACAGGCTATATCTTCCATTCTCTCTCTTGCAGGTTTGCACAATTTAGTTCCTCTGCCTCTTCATTTCAACTGAAACTCAGGCAGATTTAATACTCCTGCCAAAACGGCTCCCTTCCGGGCCTAAGAGTCTTGAATTCTGTGCCAACCCCACGTGGCCAGATGCCACTTGGGGACAGCGCCTGTGGACACCAGGCCCAAAGCCCCAGAAAAAGCGGACTTTTGCAGGATGCCTTACCACTTTTGACCACTAGATGGCACTGGAGAGCCAGGAGATGCGTATTATGACTGTGCAAGGAACTGCCAGACCCTAGAGCTGCAGTGGTTGAAACCTGATGCTGTGGCTTTAGGGGACCAAGAGCAACCTCATCACATTCTCAAGCACTCATGAACAGTCATTTACTTGGCTGCCAACACACCATGCAACCTCTAGGATGGTTTCAATTTAATGTGCCACACACACTCAGATGAAGACCCATTTTGAAAGAAGTGAGGTCTTTTACCTTGTCCCCAGCCCTAGAATGGAGAAAATTTAAAAGAGCATTTTACCTGTCCGCAATATGAATATTTTACCAGTTCCCATTTCTAATGGGACTAAGACTAAGGTCTTTCGTTTGCCACACTTCAATGATACTCCTGCAGAGTCTATAGGAAGAAAAATTCAGCCATGGAAGTGGCTTGCACAGAACTGAGTCACTTCACTGCCTGTTCTATGCGGCTGGATATGAACTAGTGGTTCCTCTCATGGAGTGTGGCATCTTCAAGCAAACAAGAGAAGGGGGGAAGGGAGCGGCGGCAGGAGAGCAATTTACAGTAAGATTGGAAGCTGTCCTTAACTAGCCTTTCAAAGCCAGAATTCCAGGCCTCGGGGGAACACAAGACCAAGTCTTGGCACCAATCTCACTTCCACACAGCCATCAGAACAGCCCAGGCTCCCTGATGAGCACTCCTAGTGTTCCCTCAATTTTATCCTCAGCTTTGTTTCCAACACCACATAGCCAAAGATGCTGAGAGCAAAGGAGAAACACAGTCTTTGGAGAAGGGTCCACAGGCTCAGTTTATGATGCTAAATGGCACCCCTGTGACCCAAGACATAGGAGGGCAGTCTTGTAACCAGGGAGCCTAAACCTGGCCAGGCCGTATGCAGGAAGGCCCAATTGCCTGCTGCTGCAGCAGGGTGACACAGAACATTTCTGGTAAAGACAGCCACCAAACCAAAAACGTCTACAATATCACCTGTGCTGTGGGATCTGCTTTCAGTGTGTCCTGCTATGTCACCTTCTCTGCTTACCTGTGTCCATATTTCTTTGCCCACAAAGAACACTACACAAGGCGATTGGGACAAGCTGAAGGCGTGGGTTAGGTATAGTCACGGTGAGACTGAAGACTCAAGACAGCTATCCCCTCCCTCTCATGTTGGATTCATGACTCTGTGACACATTCCACCCCAACCCAGTAGGGACTTCCTAGACCAGAACCTCAAGAATTAACCATTTCAGGTGCAAAAGAAGACCTATCATGACCAATCTGTGCAGGGCATGAAACTGGTCTCTCACCGCTCACTGATGAGGCGTAGCAGTGCTGGACGGCTCCCGAGGCGGATGTGGTACAGTTCTGCCAGAGATCAGTCGTGTGTCCATTGCCCACGACCCATTGCTGCAAACAGTCAGACACGCCCAGTCAGTGAAGCAGTGAGGAGCAGAGGCAGAAAGGAGCAGGACAAAGGATGGTAGACTGGCCTCATCCCCTGGACACCTGGCCCTCCCCCTCCTGCCCAATCAGATCAGCAGGCCACTCCTCAGCCTCATCCCCTGGTCGCCTGGCCCTCCCCCTTCCCCCTTCACCACTCCCTGGTAAAGTTGACAGCTGTGATCCGGAAGTGAGAGGTAACAGTTTGGTACAGATGTCACATGGAGGTGGGAACACTTTTTTTTGTGTGTGAAAGGCACTTTGGAAGCAGAAAGGTTCCAGACACCCAAACTCATACAAATGGTACTATGCGCAGAAATGTATGGCATAGTAGCAACCAGGGACTTGCCCAAGGACAAGTCCATCTTCACCACACTTATAACTTCTGGGTGTCACTCCTAGCCATGATTTCTCTGAGCCTTCTTTTTTACATATATTTGAGGGTGGGGATCAGGCTGTCCTCAAACTCTCTATTGTAGCCAAGGGTGATCTTGAATTTCTGACTGTTCTTCTACCTCAGGAAGGGCTGAGGTTACAGGCATATACTACCACACTCAAGTTCAAGGTTTTATGTATGCTAACCAAGCCCTGTGCCAACTAAGTTTATCATTCTTATGGCCCTGTCGAGATTAGCAACAGCCATAGTCATAATTAAGATTTTTGTAAGCAATAAAGCAATTAACATAAATAACAATAACCCCAAACCACACTTCCAGCCTGCCTCACATTAAGACATTAAAGTCAGAAGCATACATCTTCATGTTTCAAGAAGGCAACTCCTAAATGAATTAATCCATTGTGTCTGGCAGCTCCATACCAGTTATTTCCTTGCCCAGTTCCTATCAGTGGAGGGCAGTCCGGTAAGATAGTACAGTCCACTGCAAGACTGGCTTGAGATCTGAACAGCTTACGTTCTTCCAGCCCTTGCTCAATTCCTAACCCTGACGCTGGCCTAACTTTCTCAAAGAACTGAAAAGAAGCGGGTGGCAAAGAAGTGCAACGACAGAAGTCCTGGTGCCTCTGGGATGTTCAGCTGTCTGCAAACATCATTCCAGTTTGGCACCTGGGGAAGCAATGGCAGGGAACCCAGAGCAGGGATAGCTGCCGCCCCGCAGGGAGCCTCCCCTGCCCGGCTCGCCCCGCACTCACGCTGACGATGGTGGAGACGAAGAGCAACACTAGCACCGCGATGTGGAGGAACAGGATCCCCAACAAGAGAAGGAGCATGGTGGCTGGGAGTTGGGCTTGGGATCGGTGGAGCGGTGCCTGCGGGGAAAGGAAGACGGTGTGAGGCCGCTGCCCTGGCCCGGGGGCCCAGCTGGCCGGGAGGGGGCGGCCGCCGCCATCCATATCCGCGCCCAGTGCCCGCCCGCGACCGAACATCTTTTGCCTTTGGAACAAAACAAACAAGTGGTACGCACGTCTCGATCACCCCGGGAGGCGCGCGGAGGAGAGGAGTTTCCTGAACGATGAGCGGAGGCCACAGCAAGCCTCCGCCCAGCTTGGGCGCCTTTCAGGGCCCGTGGGACTTGGGAGGCTACCGAGGCCACGTCCCTGCCCGAGTCACAGGGCGGATTCCCCCGGGGAAGGGAGGCTCAGCGGGCGGCGCCAGGCTCGAAGCCAGAGGCCTGGGGTCGCCCGCCGCCCGAGGCTGGTTTCCCAGACCCCAGCGCGCCCCGCGTTCCGTTACTTGCCTCCAAGTTTCCACCCGTTTCTGCCAGCGGAGAGCAGCCGCCCCGCCCCCGGCTCGGCCTAGATGCTGGAAGCTGGGGAGCCGGAGAGCAGGCGGGCTGGAGGACTGCCCGGCTCCCGAGCTTCCCGCGCGCAGGGTTCCGCGCCTTCCCTGCGCCCCGGGGGGTTAAGAGCCTTCAGTCCCGCCAGCTCCACCGGCGCCCCCTGGACGGCCCCACGGACAGCTAGGCTGAGCCTGCCGCACACACAAACCCTGTCCAAAGCCCCATCCCGAGTGGGTGCGACAGGAGCCATATCCCCGGGTGCGGCTGACTGGAGGGAAGGTGCAGTGCGTAAAGGGGCTGATTGAGTCTGAGAATACTCGCAGGTCAGAACTGGCAAGACATGTTTCCGAGGTCCGAGATACTATCTCCTAGAGCCACCCCACCACCACCACTACCACTTCAGACTTTAGGGAGCTAAAACTTGGGTGACCTGATAGTGAATGTGTACAGCTGTGGAAATCTGGCTGCAGCTGAGAGAGCCAGTTAAGGATAGAACCTTGGGCAAGGAGACTTCTAAGTTAGTTTTGACAAGTATTCTATCCCAGACATGTCCATTTTCCTCCCAAGGAACACATCCAAGACAAAAAGTCAGGAATGCACTGAAGCTATAAGCAGTATTTTCCCATGATTTCCAGAAAATTCAAATTACATCGGATAGCTTCAAGTAGCAGAGAGCAAGAACACGACAGTGCCTGTGGCTAGAACCTGAAGGACCAGAGGGCCGGGTATTTTAACAGTACATCCTTTGGAAAGAATTGCAGGGCCGCCCCAGCCACCTTCTATCCGGACACCGCCACCACCCTGGTCTGGACGATGTAGAGACAGTCCTAGGTGTGTCCCTCGGGTCGGCTAGGAAGCAGGAAGGGGTCTCAGCGCTCCTGCCACAAGGCAGCCCTATAGAGGGTCAGAGACCCGTCCCCTCTTTAGGGACACCATTTCCAGACGATGCCCAGCTGTATCCCCCCACCCTCTTCACTTTCCCTGCCAACTTACTTTCAGTTCAAAGGGACAACCGTCTGTCTCAGAGCAGAGTAGCCTCAGGCACAAATTCGGGTGCGTTCGCAGAGTTGCTAGCGTCCGCAAAGACAGCTGTGCTGCGGGGCAGCGCGCGCGCAAAGCAAGGGGGCAGTGGGAGGCTCCCGGCATTCCCCTTTAACGGGAACTACGCCCTGTTTGCGTCGCTGCAGAAGGGTGTGTCCCGGGGTCAGCGTGTGCGGGAGGGCGGGCCTCCCCGAGGAGAGGGGGCAGGCGGGAGGGGCGCTGACTGCCAGAGACAGTTACTCTTAAAGACGCCCCCGGAAAAACCAGATCTCTGTAAAACCTCGACTTTTACTTGAAGCTGGAGGCCCCTGGACTTCTCACCTCTCACCTTCCCTAGCTCTGTGGTACTTGGGCCCTGTTGACCAATACATTTCATCCTCGCTCCTGCCCCTTCATGAATAAAGCTTGCTAGATTTCGTACCCACCTTCCTGCCACATGCCCCAAGTGGTGCGCAGTGCTAGATTTTCAGGAGCACTGAAGTTAACTGTGCCCATGCGAGGACTGTGAGGCTGGACCCCCTCTCCTACCAGCAGCCAGGACCTCTCAGGTCCTGGCACATCTGACTTGCGCTGGGGACTTAACTGTGCTTGTCTTTAAAACACCCATCCCTGCTATTCCTGTTTGTACCTAGAAAGTATGCTGGTTTACTGGGATTCAGGGGACATATCTAGAGGGCTATGCTGGGACCCGAGTCCAGAAGTGGGGAGAGGAGGAAAATCCAGGCTTGACAGACAGGGGGCCCTAGGATCCGGCTCCTCCTAGGCTTGGCAAAACCAGATTTTACAACCGCATATATGCTCCAGGCAAAGTTTGCCTGAGGCAATCTGGCCTGGCTCCCAGTCTTGGCTGGAGTCCTGACCATGGGGGTAGGGGTGAGAGAAGTGGCCATCTGAGGGGCGGGAAGAGCAGCCAGAGAAACTAGCTGATTCATAGCCACCTGAGTGTGGCCGCCCAGAGTTAAGGAGGGAGAGGCTAGCCGGCTCTTCTTGGAGATGCGCCCAACTAGCCATCAGGTCACCTGTACTGGCTGACTGAGCAAGGAGCCAGTGTGGTGAAGTCTCTCCCCTGCACATCCACACCCTCCTACCTGTTAAGAGCAGTGTGTCACAAAGCCCTGGGAGACTCAGATAGCTCCATATTATTTTGCTATTTGAAAGGAGGAGGGGGGATGGGATAGGGGGTTCTAGGGAGGGGAAATGGGGAAAGGGGGTGACATCTGTATTGTAAATAAATAAAATATCCAATTAAAAAAAAGAAAGTAGCTGCTATTTGAACTAATTGTATATGCTTGCTCATTAAATAAAAAATAAACTTGAAGCGTTCCTCAGACAATGATCTTTTAAAATTTCTCGTCAGATTAAAAAGAGCACATGTGGCATTTTTATTCAGTGCCCTGCCGATGCCAGGTGTCATACCTGGGCTTGGCACACAGGAGGCTGAGAGGAGATGCGGGGCAGTGGGTGAAGCTAGAGCTCTGCACTCAGGGGCACACATAATCAGACGGACTCCTCCTGGTGTGAGCATTCATTGAACGTCAATGTTTTTGTCTGGGAAGAGCGGCTGCTGCCTACACTGAAGGGCGTGGTGATCCTTAACAACAGGCTCAGAGCCATTAGCTGTGTGTCTGGAACGAAAGGCCCAGTCCTCAAACACACCACTATTCTAAGAACACCACATTTAACGATCACAGCCCTTCATGGCCACCTCGGTACTAAAATAGATTGGAGTATACCCAGAGTTATACAGCTGCATGAGAAGGCATGCAGCTGGAGAATGACTGAGGCAATGGAAATAAATCTTCTGTTTCCTGGGTCATTTTTATAAGTTAGATGTGTCCTGGAAGTCATCACTGAGCTCTTACTTAGGGCCAAAAATAAGGCCAAGCATTCTCGGTGGTATCACATTTAACTCTGGATTCTCTTCCTGTTCTGTTAAGTAAACTTCTAAAGGAAGCCTAATATACATCTTGAAAACAGCATAACTGTGGCTGCATCCACAGCCAGCTCCTCCCCTTTTTTGAACTCGGTATTTTGGTCAACAGTCTCTTAGGTCATAGCCACACCACAAGCTGCCAGAAAGGTGACCCCTTCTGTCCCTTGCTGCCTCTTGCTTCCTGGCCAGCTCCCAGTGCTAGAGAGGAAATGCCCCTGAGGAAATGCTGAGCAAGCTTGGCCACACCCAGAGCCTGCGAGTCACAGGTGGAGATGGCCATGTACCGGTCCACTTGCCAGCTGGGTGAATACTGCATCTTCACCCTAGGTAGGGCCATCTAGGTGCCCCCCCTCCTTTCCCTTCCAAGTGGGATGTATTCGGATTCTAGACACTCTCAGACCATTCTCTTGGACTCCTCAGCCAATTACACACCCAGGTTTAAAGCAAGGATTTGAGGACCCCTGAGTGTCTGTTACTTTGGGGACCTATGTACTGTCTTCATTGCAGTTACTTCCATTTGCAGGTCACAATGGACAGGAACTGAGCCATCGTATAAAGTACACACTATCCAGAGACACCATTTGCCAATAAAACTCACCAGACCAAAGGTGTAATCCCTTCCTCCACTTGGATTTCTCTGCAGTCAAGCACAAAGGATGGAAGCCCTCCCCGCAGGACAGCAGATGCCCACAGCAGACCAGACTCTGAGCTCTGCTGCTTCCAGCCAGGCTCTCTGAGATGTTCTCTGGTGGAGCTCCCTGTAGCTGAAGCTGCACTAGGCGTCTTTCCAGTTTATTCAGGGGCTGGTCCAATGCTGGGATATGTCATGGTGGCCTGAGAGGTTCTCAGCCTCTACTATTTAAAGAGACAGTGTCCAGCTTGTGTATCTTCTAGACAAGAGTGATCCCAAGAGGCCCTGCAGGAAATGAACTTGGAATGAATTTGCGGTGTTCCTGAACCTAAAAGCTCAGGGCTGTTCTCCCTGGAAACACTAGCCTATGTACAGGTGAAGAGGTCCAGCCCATTCTTAGTAGGCTATCTGCAACTTTGAGTGGATTCTGCAGAACTGAAATCCGTGTAATGGGTATACACATACAGTGTTACACAGTGCAAGAAAACCAATATCATTGTACAGCATTCCAACATGCCACAAATTACCCCATCAATATCATACCAGGGAACCAAAATATCTCAGTGTTACTCAAGTAGGGTTTATTTTGCTGTGTGCCCATGCTGTCTGCTCTTTCTGCTGTGACTCCCTCGGCCCCAGCATACAGTGCTGGCTGAGTATTAGAATGGAAGTTGGGGAAACATGTCTTCCAGCTCTGTCTTTAATGTATCCCTCCTCAAATCACTATTAAACATTGACCTTCAATGTTTAATAGGTCATTTCAAGCTAACAACCCTCTGCAGAGAAGGGTTCGGACATCTCAGGCAGGGTAGACTGGAAGGACAGTTGGGACATCGAGAGCTTGGCAGATGATGCTCCTGGCATTTTCTCAGCTCAGCCCACCCTTTCTATCTTATAAAGGGTCCTTATCACTAACAAGTGCAGATGCTCATCTAAGGGAAGAGGTTTCATTGAATAGATTTCCTGGAATCCTGGCCAGTTCTCCAGCCTCTTGTGTCAGGAACTTCCACTGTGGTCAACCCAAAGCATTTGAGGAAGTCTTCGTCTGCCATACAGACCTCACATCTTGCTGGACTTCCTAGTCAGGGGCATGTCTGAATGGTCCAATTGCCCTGCTCACAGCCAACACTCTTCTAGTTCCCAGAAGCCCCTTCTTTCTCCCTTTCCATAACCATTTCTGTTTTCCCAGCACCCATTCTTAGCCCTGACTGTCATGCTTAGAAGAAACTGAAAGCATGGCCAGTGATCTCACTAGGGCCCATGCCAGAGATGCTGGCATTAGTAGTAAGGGATGGGACTCAGAGTTCGGTCACTCGTCCCACTGTTTCTCCAGCGTGTCACATTGTCCAGCAGGGGTGTTCTGGAGTTTTTACACCTTTGTTTTTCCTTCCAGATTCCCTCTGTGGTTCAGTATAAATCAGGTCTTGGCTAGGGATGGGCTGCTGTATTATGCAAGACATAGATTAGTCTCATCAGGTGAAACGAGGCAGGGATATGGACACAAAGAAGAGACTCCATCCCAGTCCTCCTCTGACATGATCTGCACAGAGTTCTGGAAAGCAGGAAGCATGAGTCCTTTGATCTTTACAGACACTCCCCCCTCCCCATGAATAAATTGAAGACTGCAAGCGGCCAGAAGCTGTTATCCATCGGCCCAGGACAGAATGGTTACATCAGAAAATATTATTTATGACCAGCCTGAAATTGGAGGAAGAGGGAGAGCGAAGGATACAGGCATGGATTTTGCATTTGGGCCTATCAGATCCCTTCATGAGTCCAGTCTTCCCTAGACTGACCCTCTCACCCTCTTTCTCATCTGGCCCTCCATCTCAGTGGCCAGGCCCTGGAAGACCTGTTGGCTATAAAGTTTATCCACACTAGTCAGCACCCATCAGGACAGGGTTATCTGCCTTCTCCCACTGGAGCCACCTGAGGAAAATGTCCTTCTGGTTCTTTTGTGCTGCTGTAAATAGCCCTCTCCTCAGCCAAATAGGACTTCATCGCAGCCATGACTAACATCTCAGTGAGCCACTTGCTAAGATAATCACATAGAACAGTCACCCAACCATATTCATCATCGTGGATGTTTGCCTCCCCTTTACATGTAGAGAAAATAAGAATCCTGTATCTTCACCAAGAAAACAGTGAAGTCACCCCAGACTGGCTAATTCTACCAGCTGAGTGTTTCTGCTGCATTGAGTTTGAATCTCTCAGGAGTGATCACTCCATTCAGAAGTCATGGACTAAATTAATAGCATTAGCCATTTATATTTACCAAGCCATTCTATTAAGACCAAGGACCACCCTGAGTACTTCATATGAATCGAATCACTAATCTTTACAATGACCATATGGGTACCAGTAACATCTTTTATAAGAAGAGGCATAGCATGATACCTTGAGCTCATATTTAGGCCCCATTCTGTCTTTCTCCTCACTACATCTACAATATCCCTAGCACACTCTCTATAATTCAGTTTCCTTTTATTTTCATCAAAGATACACTTTATATACAGCTAGTCACCCACATCTCTCTTTTTATTAAATGAGAAAATTATCCCTTGGTACTGATTTCCAGAATCGAGCTTCA